AACTGTTATTTCAAAAACTCAACAATAAATAACAATGAGGCGGATTTACAGACAAAGGGGGGGGGGGGGAGAATTTACATTTTTATTATATTTTTTCCTTAGTAAGAACTCTGTGAAAGTTGCTTTTGTTTGAAAAGCAGTGATGAGTCTGAAGCAATAAAATATATGCATTTGTCTAAATGTTTACATTCTTCAAAATCTTATGTATTGATGTGTTCCAACCAAAATTTTGGCTACTCCTTGCTTCATTTGACCTATGACATGAGATAAGTTAAAATTCTTAGGAGCCTTAGTTACATGTTTAAAATATGAGAGCCAGACAGTAAATGTTATTCCCCACCTACTTACTAATTGGTGAAGATGGAACATCTTTTATTGACACCATGTTGTGTTTTTTCCAACATGTTCTTAAAGGTACCTAAATATTTATCTAAAAACTTCATCTTCCAATTTTTTTTTTTTTTTTTACCACAAGATGATCCAAAATAGGAAATTTGCTAAAATTGATTATCAGGTTAAGTAGAAGTAAAGCAATATAAACTCACGTGGTTTGGAGGGAGGAACTCGTGGTTGTTTTCATTCATGTACATGTTTTCACCATCAAACTGAAAGAGAAAGAAAAAAAAAATTGTTCAAGAACATAAATTTCAGTCAGTCACTGGAAATACTAAACACCGTAACACCACAGCCAAATGTCTGCAAGTCCTCAGCTTATAGACCCCGATGCTCTGGTGGATGTCAGTAATTACAGTTCATTAGAGCCATGTATAATTAGGCCCTGCCAACGCTTGCGTAACTCACACTCTTCGTCTCTGCTTGCCCACAGCTTCAGTGTGTGCGTGTTTGCATAAAAACTCGCACACCTAACTGCTGTGATTCCCAGGGTGTCACAAGGCAACAAAGGGCCAGTGGAGTGATAATCACAACAGCGAAAGCTCAACGCTCACTGCTGCAGCATGCCGAGTCAGTGAGTCAGAAACTCGGCCAGTCACTTATTCTTGTAGGGAAGATCCATATTAAATCATGAAAATCTACAGTGTGTTTCTTTTGCTGCCTTATTAGCAGTTAGATATAATGATCACTACATGCTTATTAACAATTAAACTAGTAAGAACAGTAGTGATTGTATTTTTTACATCCAGCATCATACTTGCATCATCATTGCTACCATATGGGCTTCCGGATATGCACTACTTCAGTGGCAGACTCTGCAGACTCATAGAGTGACTTATGGGCAACACTTTTGTAAAGTATGTAAATAGCATTTGACAAGACGGTCAGTCAGGTTGGTGACCCAGATAGCGACTGTCTGTGATACCAGGCAGTCTGCTAGAACTTCTGGAACCTTCTTTTCCTTTTAGACAAATGTTTAAAGTAATCTCTGAACAGTAGGAGGGCGGGTTATTTTTTTTCCTAAAATTCTACTGCAAATGTATTAAATTTAAACCAGACATGAGTAAAATATTCCAATGCATATCAGTTGTACAACACACAAATCTGGTCTCAATAGAAGGCTGGCAAATGGTAAATTATTGATGATACAAAGGCATCAGAAATCAAGTAGGGGAAACAGCAAATGTGTGTGAAGGGTATGCTCCAGGCAGATAAAAACGAAACAAAATGTTTGGCCAATTTTCAAAATACCACCACACCGTTCCTTCAGTAAAACATGGTGGTGACGCCATCATGCTCTGGGGATGATTCCCTTCAAAAGGGACCGGAAATGGAAAGACAGAGATAAATACAGGACAATCCAGTTAAAATGAGGAAATAAAAACTTAAAGGCTGCACATGATTTGAGAATGATTTGGAGGTTCACTGTTCAGCAACATCCAAAACATCATCCAGAACTATGAGGGAGTGGTTTAGATAAAACATATGTGTTAGAATCAGTAGCGAGACATCTACAGCTGTCTCCCTAAAGCACTTCAGTAAGAAGTGGTTATGTAAAGTATTGACTCAGGAGGATGCTAAACGCAAATACCCACCACAGCTTTCATCAATTTATTAAAAAAAGTGAAACCCACATATTGTTTTATGCCACACTATAATTATGCACTACTTTATGTTGGCCTTATGCATAAAATGTCGTAAAATAATTTGACAATGTATGAATAACCCCAAAAGTCACTGTATATTTTTTTATTAAGCTATGGAAACTGTTAAATTATTTAGCTTGTGACCATAATTATTGCTTAAGTGGGAGGCATGAAATTAATAAATGTATCCAATCCATGACACAGATGATAGCGAGGCACAAACTGTTGCTTCTGTCAGCCATTCTAAACAGCTACCCAGCTGATGAGACACCATGCAGACTCAAAGAGGTGAGAAATGTCAGAGAAAAAAACAAAAAAAAGAGACAGTGTAGTTGTCTATTTCAAATCTTTGCAATTCCAAACTCAGGAATCCTATAATCTGAGAAAGGCAAGAATGTATTCTCAATTGTGAACTATTGCTTAAGTGGGAGGTGAAGTAGGTAAAGACAGTGCATGTATAGGGGGGGGGGGGGGGGGAAGGGGGAGAACAAATAATAGAGTTAGCAGGGATCATGAATAAGAGAAACCAAGGAGGGGAGGAAAACGGCTGTAACAGCAGCAGTGACGATAGAGCCTGTGGTTGTTCGAGCTGTAGAGTGATTAACACTGGGGTCAGAGCCAGAGACCGCAGCTTGAAAGAAACAGCCATTTAAACGCACACACACACGCACGCACGCGTGCCTGCGCACACACACGTTCAGAGACCTTTCCTGCCTCTCTGGCTGATACTGTTTGGTTGTAGCCCTTTATGAGAAAACAAAACACACCTCAAGACAGCTTGTAGAGGCTGAGATGAATGGCGCTACTGCAGGGTAAAATAACTGGATAGATATGTGCCTTCAGGAAGACATTTGTCAAGCTTTGTGCATGGACAGAAAACACAGGAAGAAAATCGTTTTTGTACAATTACCTTCATGTAATAAATGAACATGCAAAGATTTTCATGGATATATATATATATATATATATATATATATATATATACATTTTTTTTCTTCATTGTCTTCAGATCTTAATTTGTCTTGCATTTTTATGTCTACTTTGAAAATGACACAATCCCAACAGCTCCAGTAAAAATGGCAATTACTTTTAAAATGATGCATTTCAAAGCACAACACTGTCATTCAACCCCTGATGGAGCCGTTACTTTGAATGCAGTGATTTCTGTTTAACAGCACTATTAGTTACTAGAAGGACCAATCATTGTATTCTTCTATGGAAAGGAAAATGACTGTCTTTATGACTCCTGGCAAATGATTTTACATAATGCCCTAATGTGAAAAATGTGTTGGCGTCTTAGAAAAGGTTATTTTCACACCTGTGAACCAGATCTCGATTGGTAAAATAGGCTAAGCATGAAGCAATTAAACAGGGTGTCAAAGTTTAAGCTGGTTTTGCAGCAGTGCTTCTGCAGCACAAAGGGAGGGAGTCACAGAGGACAGACTAGTTAGAATAACAAACAACTTTTATATCAAGGGGAAAGGTAAAAATTATTATTTTCTGCCTATATGTGGTTCAAAAAAGGTTCAATTAATCTAAATGTTCTTTGCACATGCTGTGAAGGGGATGCAAGAGGTGATCTGAGCTAGGGATAGCCAACACCAACCTTAAAATGTCATCACAATATATTTTATGGTATTTACTTTAATTATGATAAAAGATACAATGAAAAGTACTTGGAATCCAGCACAGATTTTTTTGGGCAACAAATCTGTAACAGTGTAGAGTTTTGGCAGAAGAGGGCAGGTTTGGTCCTTAAGGGCCAATGTCCTGTATGCTTTAGATGTGTCCCATTCCAACACATCCGAATCAAATGACTGACTTGTCTCCTCGGTCTCATTGGTTCTTCAATTCTTTAGAAATAATTCATATCAATCAAAGAGAAATTAGTATATGCAGGATACTGCTTCTTGATAACTGGAACTGTCAAGTGAAGAAGTAAATGTCACTAACATTGTGATGAAATTATAAGTTAAAATCACCAAAAATACTTTGAAATGTAAACAACTATTTCTTGTAGGCTGCAAGGTGGAAGAGTTGTTCCCACTGTTGCCTTGCAGCACAAAGGTCATATATCACCCATGGCCGCTTATCCTGGATTCAGTGTCAGATGACATGGCACCAACTTCACCCAATGCAGATGGAGGGCAGAGAGTAAATGCAGCCTACTTATTTCTGTTGATGAAGCATCAAATGCCTAAAGTCCATGTCCTGTAACCATTCTAATAGAGGAAGATAAATGTTATTTTCGTGATTCGAAGGTAGTTGGTCACAAGGGAGTTAAAAAAAAAAAACTTACCGCAAAAAATAGAGGAGAAAAGTGGATCAACAATCTACAGCTAAAAACAGGCAGTGTGAAAACTAACAATGCGAGAGTTTGCAGCGCCAACTTCTAACAGGCAACGATCGCATCGTTTAAATTGTATTTTCAGATATTTTATTGGACAGTTACTTAGAAAGACAAGCATTCATATGTAAGTTAAGATATATTATTTTTACGCCCTAGCTTGGATGTCCTCAGAGTGCTGTAGTTAGCAGCTAGCTCAGTGCCGGAGAGAAAATACAATGTTTATTCAGTGGGACTTCCATGCTAAAAAAAAAAAAAAAAAGGTAAATAAATTATAACCTACCAGCCATACAGTCACAGTGAGCTGTGACTATTCCCCCATGCCTGGCCATGAACTAAATATAGTTCACGAATATATTCGTGGCCAGACAGAACATGAGGGTTTCTGTAGATCGCTGCTAATCGTTGACCCACATTGGACTTGAATCCAGCATCCTACAACGACTCAACATTAACATACAACTCCAGCATGAATTTGGGTTTACAGAAGTTAAATAAATTAATTACCGGGAGATCCAAGCTCATAGAAATAACATGTTAGTTTGTTGTTAGCGATAGCATTGCTATCAGACTAATTACTTAAAATAGCACAACTCACTACTCACCCGGCAGAAACAAGTGGACAGCCATTTAATGGTTCTTTTGATCCTAAATGTTTGCCCCAACCTAAAACTAAATGATTGCATTTCCAGGCTTTTGAAAACTTTATTCTCGCTCGTCGTTTAATATGAGGTCTGTAGCTCCAGATAGATAGTTATGTCCATCGCATCGATGCGATTATATGAGAAGTATTTTTTACCGAGATAACACGGATCATATCCTAAATATAAGCATATTTATTTCGAAATGCCTTGTCTGTTTCAGCCTATTTAGGGCTTTCTCGTACTCGTTGTGATCAATTTTGCTTTGTTTTGAACCGGAGAAATCCACTTCCGGACCTCCATCTGAATTTCGAGCGTCATCCGGGTCACGTTTCTGCAACCCAGCAATTGCAGACACGTGACGATTGATGGCTGATTTTTTTTTTTTTTTTTTTTTTTTCTCTAAACAAACAGTATACAAAGACTCGTTGAGGTACAAAGAACGATTGATGGCTCTATGGCCCCTGTGATTATGGCCCTCATCAAACTGACAATAGAAAACAAGCTTAGCAATCCTTATAGGGTCTGTTAACATAATCAAACAGAGGCTATTGTTAGTTTTGCAGGATGACTAATTG